TTACTCCTTATTACAGTGAATTTAACATTTAAGAGCAGCTGTCTAGTGATCACATGATTAAGAAGATGGTGAGAATAGTTCATCAGAAACATTTTCTGTCCTTTCCCACAGAAGTTCTCACATTTTCTCAGTGATATTTTCTTCTGTTGCATTCAGTGTGTAGGATTTAGTGGCCTATAGCGGAGTAGTTACAGATCTGTCACTTCCAAGCGTGAAGGAGAATCCAGGGCGGCCGCAAAATGAGCATTAAACGCAAACGTCCCTATCTAGAACCAGTTTTTGGTTTGTCCCTTCTGGGCTCCTGTAGAAACATGGCGGTTCAACATGGAGGACTCCATGGAAAGCATCCCGCAGGGGCCAAAACAGGGGCCCTCTCATAAGTTCTGATCCTGGTCTGTCGAGATGTTTTTGTGCTCTGCAGACAAACTAACATGTTTGTTCTCTTCAGTTTGCTTCCTCACAAAGAGTTCAGATTCATCTATCCGGTGCTGCCGTTCTGTATGATCTTTTCTGGTGAGTCCTCACTTTGACATCAAACTTCTCTTTGTGCGAATGAACCAGCCGGATGTTTGTTTTAATACTTCTTCTCCTGCAGGGATATCTTTGGCTAATTTAACAGCGTGGCGCCGAGCTGCTGCGTCCGTCTTGTTAGTGAGTAACCTGGTTGCAGCTCTGTACACCGGCCTGATCCACCAGCGAGGCACTCTGGACGTCATGAGTCATCTCCAGACACTTTGTGACGTCAGCAGCGTCTCCGCGCCACCAGACGTCCTCTTCCTCATGCCCTGCCACTCAACGCCTTTTTACAGGTCGGTTTAGCCCTCGTGTTGAGTTTTCCTTACAAAAGTGTTTGTTTCCTGGTGACAAAAGCTGATTTTAAATCTGTACAACTGAGACAATATAAATTCAGGAAGCTTGTATAAAACCGGCCCACCTTTTGTTGTTCGAGTTCGTTCTTCACCTTGGAAACAAATTGACAAAACAATCTCACCTCAAGATCCATTCAGTAGCTGTTCTGAGGCTTTCGACCATTTAACACATTCTGCAGTAATTGTGCTAAAAGCCTCCTGATGAGGACCGAATGATTCAGTCGAAAGCTCTGGAACAACTATTAAAGGGAACTTGAGGTGTTTTATCAATTGAACTTATATATATTTATATATTTCATTACCCAGTGGCAGTTTTAAATCAACTGAAGATGCCAAACCTGTTAAAAGAAGCAGTGTTTAATGTCTTAATAAAAGCAGCTGTACAAGAAACAAAAGCCAAGAGGATTTAATGCCAACGTTTAATACTATTTCTAATCCTTAAACCTTCATACGTATAAACCGATATCACGTTATTAAGTTATTACTGATGTTCAGTTCGCAGCTCTTCTAGCTCTTTGTATCTGAATCTGGGTTTGTGTCGACTATAATGACTTCCTACCTTGAGTTATACTCTTGTAACTGACTGATGATCCTCTTCGTAGCCACGTCCACTGCCCGATGAAGATGAGGTTTCTTGAGTGTCCTCCAGATCTCGGAGAGGAAGGTTACGTCGAAGAAGCCGACAGATTTTATGCCAAACCTGTCCCCTGGCTCAGGACTTCATTTCCATACAAATCTTCTCTACCAACCCATCTGGTTTTGTTCGATGTTTTGGAGAAGGTAAAGATGTTCACTGATGATATTTCTTCTTGTATAAAACTTTAACGGTTGCGACTTTAATGAGTTGTTTTTTTTTTTGTCGTTGTAGGAAATCTCCGTGTTTTTGCAAGGGAACAACTTTGTGAGGACAGCAGAGATATTTCATACTCATTTTCCTGAGGGAAGAGTTGGAGGAAGCATCTTTATTTATGAAAGGCACTGACACACTGGAACAATGGCAATTTGTTTTCCTTAATCACGATGTCATATATGATCTACTACTGAAATAAACATTTAAAACACAAATGTTTCTTTGAAATATCTCATCAGACGTCTCAAATGTGTTTTTAATTATTCACAACTAAATTTGGTGTGACATTATTTCTTTTTTTTTTTTTAAACACACGTAAATAAAAACTAAACTGCCAGGTCCAGTTAAAACAAGCTCAAGGTGGAATGTTAGAAAACTGCAAATTAAAACGTCAAACAAACAAACAAACAAACAAACCTGTTTGTAGCAGCAAATTAGAACAACTACGTGACTTTACACAGAAACATCCAAAATGTGGCATGTCTTTGTTGTTTTTAAACAGTAGTTTGGTTCCCAGTTAACATTTCCTGCTCAGTGTGGCTGAAGACGAGTACAGAGTTTACAGAACAAAATAAAAGCGTTTCTTTTTCATGAATGAACTCATACTGTTACAAATGTGCAGATGATGTAAGAGATGCCACATCTTTCACTCAAACCTAGTAACGATTACTTCACTACACACAAACAGATCAAGGACATTCAGTAGCATTACAAAGTTAACATTGTGCAAACTTACAACAAAAAAAAGAGGAGACTTTGCATCTAAGTACAACCCAAAATAGATTTTGCAACTATAATATTAAACCAGTCGAGATGTTTTCAGTATTTGGGATCAAACGGCATCGGACCCAGTTCTATTTTGACGTCCGCCATGTGTCTGTCTGTGTTTCTTCCTGATCGGCTCCACTTGCGTTCACTGTGTGGGCGAGATTTGGCTCTCTGCTGCTTTCGCTGTTGATGCTTCGCCCTCGACTCCTTCGAGTCTGTGTCCGGTCTTTCAAACGGCCCGCTGTGTGAGTCAAACACAAAACATTAATGACATGACGTCATGAAGTTTGTGCTAACTGAGCGAGTTAGGAGGAACACGTAGAAACGGGACACATCAATCCTAATTTAAAGACTTTCTGGTTTAAAAAGTGATTTACGAAGCGTTTTAGATATAAAAGTCTAGTCTGAGTTTTAGAGGCGGTCCAGAGGAAAGTTAATCTACACAGCTTCCTGAAAATGTCTGCAGAGGAAACTCTTAGCGGGGAACGTTTGGCGTCATTCAGGTTCTGGAGACTTACTTTGGGCCGTAGCTTTTTGTGTAAGCCTCTCCAAAGAAGTGGCGGTAGATGAAGTCATCGAGGTCTCCAAACACATCCTCGTCGAGGCCGTGGTACTCGTGCATGTCGGTCAGATAGTCCTCCACGCCGCTGACAAAGTCTGTGAACAGCATCCGGTCGTGGATGAACACTCCGTTGTGGAAGAAGTTGTTGATGAACGTCTCCAGATCTTTCCAGTGGTGAAAGTGGTCGACTTCCTGTTGCAGGTAACTCTGCAGCAGCTGGTGAAACTCGTCTGCTCTGATCGGCTCCGTGGCTTTGTTGAAGAGACTCATGGACTCCTGGTAGGCGCAGTCGAACACACCGGAGCATCCTTTGAAGTTTGACTTCTTGGTGTTTTGACTCTGATCTTCGTAAACTTTACCTCCTGACTTCCGAGTGTTGCTCTGGAAGTCGTCAGATGTGTGTCTGTGATGATGCCTGTGGGATCTGTGCTGCCACGACTCTTTGGCATTCTTCTGATCACGTCTCTTGTCATAAAAACCTCTGGCTTTGTCGATGAAGGTCGAAGCCGAGTCCTTGAAGTTTCGGAAAGTTAGTTTGACAGAATCTGAAAACTTCCTCAGATTCTCCTTCACAGCTTCCTTTGCTTTCTTTATCTGCTCTTTGTGGTGATGGACAAACTCCTTGGTGGAGTTCTTCACAGCATCAAATGTCTCTTTCACTTTGCCCGCCATGCTCTCCTTTGGTTTTTTCACTTTGGACTCTGTGTCTCCTTTGACTCTTTCTTCTTTGGTTTCCAGATACAGCCTCTCCCACAGGTCGGAGCGCTGCTGCTCGAAGCTCAGTCTTTTCTCCATCTCCATCAGACGGGACTGGAGCCCTTCTGCCTCTGTACCGGCCTCCTTTCCAGCTCCAGGTATGTGACTTCTCAGTAGGTTTAACTCTCTCCTCAGCTCATCTGTGACCTTTCTCTCCTTGTCCAGCTTCTTCCTCAGTGTCTGTGCTTCTGCCATCATGTCTTCGCTCTGACCACGGAGGCTCCTGATCAGCTGTTTCTCCTCCTCCAGCTGTTCTTTCAGCCTCTGGTTTTCTGACAGCAGTGTGTCACCACCAGCTCCCGTCGCTTCCCGATCTCTAATCTTAGAGCGCAGGTTCCTCAGCTCCTCCTGCAAGGTGGACAGGGACTTTTCTTCACGTTCCAGGGAGCTTTTCAGCAGCTGGTTCTCCGCCGTCAACATCTGCTGCTGGGACACAAGGTTAGACCTCTCCTCAGCCTCCTGATACAGCAACAGCTCAAGATCATCTTTCTGGTCCTTTATGGGAAAAGAAGGAACAAAACACTTTTACAGTGGTGTTTATTTGAGTCTTTATTATTGAAGGAAGGCAAAGTTCACTCAGATCATTCAGCTTTTGAACAGTGAAACAAAAAAAGAAGGAAGTTTTGACTTTTCCTCATTATAACACTTGCATTTGTGTTCTGTTACCAAAACAATAAAGTTACCTGAATCTGTGCCTGTTGGATGCTGAGCTCCTGGTTCTCCTTCTTGATCTTCTCAATCTCTTCTGTCAGCTGTAAAATAACATTTTGCTCATCCAGGTCATCCAGGCCAAAGTCAACCCTCTGAACCAGAGAGACAAGAAACCAGTTAAAGTTAATGGTTACAGGAGTCATGATTGTTGAAGGTCATTCAGCATTTGAGTAAGGAGGTCAAGAAAACCGAACTCACATTACTTTCATGTACATTCTGACACAAACAAGCGTATTATTGTTTGTGCTCTGTATTGTCACTGACCTGGTTTGTAAAAGGTTGCCCTCGAACATGTCGGTGAAGCAGATCCCTCACACCATCGAGTTCATTCACTTTGATTTTCTCCACAGTTTTCTGTCTTTCTTGAATCTGGACTGTTCCTGTAAGTGACATTATTTACACATGAGAAACGTTGTTGCCTTAATGTGATGGAAGCAGCGGTCTTTAAAACTCAAACTATGAAACAGAGTTATGGGGAACAAACTGTTCACAAATGTACAGTCGTTCCCACCGAAGACCTGCTGAGATATCTACAGCTCTTACAAGGAAACTAAGGAAAGGAAACTTCTAATTCTGTAATTCAGTATTACATCTCGACCCTTCACAGATGAAGAAGATGCTGTGCTGTAACAAACACTATGAACATTCATTCCTGCCAACTGGAAGGTTTAAATGAAGTATACTTTAATATTTATAATAATATATTATATAAATATAATATTTATATCTCGCAGCTCTGCAGTTCTCACCACAGAAGTGTCCAAAGCCCATGCTGAAGGCTACGAGGAGGGCGATCAGGATACACCTGTTGAGGATGCCGCTGCCCTGGACTTTCGTTTGGACATCCGGAGCGCCGGCGGGTCTGACTTCTGCCTGCTCCTCCTGCTGCACCTCATCTTCCTCACTCTGGTCAGATTCCAGCGCCTCTTCCTCCTCCGGCTCTGTCACGATGCTCGTGGTATTCTTCCTCAACCTTCGTCTTCTGACAACAGTGCTGCCGCTTCGTCCCGCCTCGTCCTCGCTGCTGCTTGAGTTTGTCACTGCAGGCTGCTGCACTGGGAACACTGCAGCAAAGCACATACAGTGATAGTGATTATATGATACATGCAGTGAGAAGGCA